ACGAGGTAAATAAATCTAAACAAAAAAAATAATTAGTCAATTATTCAAATCTAAATTCGATTTTTTGTTCTTGATGATAGGAAATCATAATGGATAATGTAAGATGTTTGATTTGCTCAAGAAGATTAAAAAGTCAGGATTCACTTCTTCTACATGTTAAATCAGCACATTTGAATGCTCCTAATAATACTAATAAGAAAGCAAAAAGAAAACCAAAAAGGCGTAATGGTAATGGTAATGATTATATTTATAATATATTAAAAAATCAAGACTGATTCTAATGAAAATAAATTTACAATTGCTAAATTTGAAGACAACAGTGATGATAGAGATGATAATGGTAATGGCATTGATGAAATTAAAAAAGGAGACAAAGATAGAAATCTTATAATTATTGATGATGATGATGAGTGGGAGGAGAGGGAAATTGACAATGATAGCAATGACAATGATATGAGTACGAGTATGAATATTATTAATGACAATGATATGGGTATGGGTATGAGCACGAGTACGATTAATGACAAAGTTCAAGATATAAAAGAAATCAGCATTAATAATAATAATAGTAATATTCAAATCCAAATCCAAATCCAAAATAAAAAACAAGAAAATGACATCAGTGACAATAGTAATAGCAATATTCATAATCAAAATATAAAAAACATCATTACTACATCAACTAAAGGCAAAGAAACTATTAATCAATCCAATAATATCATTGAAATATATCCGCAATTTCCTTGTGTGGACATTTTTCAATTAAATATGTGGACAGTGAATTTCAAAAAAAATAGACTTGCTTTGTGGCTTGTCATTGAGAATTATTAGTTATTTTTGATCTTAGCAAGGTTATAATAAATAAGTCTACATATTATATTGCTTGATTAAATGTAATTGTCAAGATCCGTCTCTTTGAGGATAATTCTAACTTCCTTGATACTAGTCTCATCCATAGAAACATTGTGGAGTAGTTAAGGGACATTGAAGAAAAACGCTTTGAGGTTTTTAAGTGCTTTTAAATATCCTTGTTATTGGCTTTGTTAATATATGAATTAATAATTAATCAAAGTTTTGCTATTTTTGTAGGTGTTGTTGAAACCAAAATTGAGTATTTCTATTGTTGATACTCTGTTAACTACTCGTGACGTGTAAATGGTGAGATGCGCACAGAGAAAAATAAATCAATCGATAAAAGTACTTATATGCAAAAATTATTTACCCTGTTTAATTAACATGTGGTTATATTTTAATAGTTTGAAATTTTTTCTTACAAGCTTAAAATAAAAAAAAATAAAAATCATGAAAACTATTTGTATCAATAATTTATAACTATTATTACTATTATTATCAATTAGGTTTATAAAATTGATATTATTCGAAAAATAATTTGGTGGTTCAATTTATCAGTGTGCTTGTCTTTTATGAAGTGAAAATGCT